CCGAGCAGGGAGCCCGATGCGGGACTCGATCCCGGGACTCCAGGATCATGACCTGAGCCGAAGGCAGTCGCTTAACCGACTGAGCCACCCAGGCGCCCTCTGGTTAATATTTTTAAATGATCACTCCAGCTACTACCTGGGGAGTAGACTGTAGGGAGGCAAGGAGACTTTGGGGCTACTGCAATAGTCCTGGAAGAAGGAGTGGTAGCTAGGGCTGTGTGCCAGACGTGAGATGCATCAGAAGCCCACGGGACTTATGTATGGCACGTGGGGCTTGAGAGAAAGAGGCATCAAGATGACTCCATGGGTTTTGGCCTGAGCAACCTCTAGAATGGAGTTACCATTTACTGAGACGGGGAAGACTTTAGGTGGGGGCATATCTGGAGGTGTGAGGGCAGTGTGCACAGGAGGGAAAGAAACAGGTGGGGTTTTTTGTCCATGCAACGTCTTCAATGTCTGTTAGACATCCACATGGGTATGTCAGGTAAGCAGTAGGATGTGAGACTGGAGTTCAGGGAAAAGAACAAAGCTGGAGAAGTCCATGTGTGTGTCATGGGTGGGGGTGGGCGGGTGTAGATGACTTTCAGAATGCTATAGCATTGCTGACATTTGAGTCATCCTTTGGGGAGGTAAGTGGGTGGCCTCCTGATGACATTCCAGTCATCCGACCATCCTTGTAGAAGAAATGCATCAAGTGGCAAAATTTTAATCATGCTCCTTCCTCAGGGTTTAATAAAGTGCTATGCCACACTTGACTTGCTGTTGATCAAAAACACGAAGTGATTTTATTTCCTTTGGATTCCTTGCTTAATCTTTCCTCCTCTGCTCTCTCTGTTTTCCTCCCTGGGTTCTTTTAGTTTGATGCTATTGAAAGAAAGTGGTAGACAAATTCTTAGCTCATTGAAATATTTATATCATTTATATTGTTCGTTACACTAACTAACATTTAGTAGGAGTTGTTATGTGCTGGGTACTCATCTAACACCACGTTTCCAAATTTTATTGTTCATGGTATGCTTAGTCTCATTAGTTTTTTCCTGGTGTCACTAATGCAAAAGTAATACATAACGGTTTCATTTATTAAGTAGTTTTCCAAATAACTTAGTATTTATGTCCTAACAACTTAGTAGCCATTGGAAAAAAATAATAGTTAAATTGAAAGAAAAAATAAATTGTTATCTAGTTCTTAAATAACCATGGTTATTTAATAATAGAATGTGTATCTGCAATACAAGGGGTAAATCATAATGGTATAAATACTTGGTTATCACTCAAGTATTAAGGAAATTCAAAGGAGAAAGTTGTATGAAATCAAGTGTTTGGCTCAGCTGCAGACTATTCTGAATATAATTCCATCAGGTAATTTGTTTATTATATTTCCATTGTAGACTTGGAGGTCAAAAACCAGATTTTAGTGATGTCCAGAGAACCAGAATGCTTATTAACTGCACTCCTATATCCTCCTATCTAGATGTGTTAGGACATTTTTCCCCTCTTCTAACTTACTTATTTGGATTCTTGTTGGGATTGTGTCCTTAGAATTTTTAATAACTTATTTTGCCCATTTCTGTCATTAAAGCTTCTTTGAGTCATTAATTTCAAGATAGTTTCATATGCTTATTAATTATCTACTTTATATTCTTTGATTTAATTTAAATCATAAACTAGTGCAATGGGAGTCATTTGTTCGTAAAATGAGTAGAGCAAATATGTCTTCTGGATCATTTTCATTACCCACGAGCCTCCCTGCAGTATTCAGTGGTTTATTAACCGTTGTTGTTGGGGCAGCTTTAGAACTGGTAATGTAACCTCTTTTCCCTAGAATCTGAATATTTGATCAGTTATTTTCTTCTCAGGATCTAAAATTAGGGAACTGGTTCTCTCCTCCGGGGCTGTTCTTGGATATTATGGTATTTGACTTGATAAATGAACCATTGTCCTTTCGGTAAACTTAATGATTATGCTTTGCTATTCATACATGGTCTCATCAGCCATGTTAAATTCTTCCACCTAGGGCGCCTGGGTGGCTCAGTTGGTTAAGCGACTGCCTTTGGCTCAGGTCATGATCCTGGAGTCCCGGGATCGAGTCCCGCATTGGGCTCCCTGCTCGGCGGGGAGTCTGCTTCTCCCTCTGACCCTCCCCCCTCTCATGCTCTCTATCTCATTCTCTCTCTCAAATAAATAAATGAAATCTTTAAAAAAAAAAAATTCTTCCACCTAGTATCAGTATCACTGTAGATTTATGGAGAGCCTAAGAAAGCTTAAACTTCTAGCCCTTGACTTTCATAGGCCCTGTGAATGCTGGGACCAGAATATTCTAGGTGGGGAGGGGAAACCAGGTCACCACCAGGAAGCATTTCTAGGTGAGCATTTCTGGGAAATTGACTACAGAAATCTCAGAAGAAAGGGACCTAAATTTCCAAGGCTCTAGTAACTTGTTGTGAATTTCTTTAAAATCCCAAATAAGTACTCTCTTTTGTACCTAGATTTGAATATGTGATTTTGTATCTCTTTCCTTAAAGGAGCTTGAAAAACAGTCAAAGCTTCCAGACCCACACAGCCTGGATCTGCCTGACGAGTATTGGTTTTTTTGTTTTTGTTTATTTTTTTAAA